CTCTCTCTCTCTTCATATGTGTGCGTGTGTGTATGTTTCTCTGGTGAAATTCAGTATGGTTCTGGCAACAGTTTTATGTTTGTTATGTTTTATGTACAATCCTTAATATTTATACACACATTTATACACACACACATACACATAAAGTTTAATGTGTGTGTGTGTGTGTGTGTGTGTGTGTGTGTGTGTGTGTGTGTGTGTGTGTGTGTGTGTGTGTGTGTGGGGAGAGGGGGTGGGATGTTCGCCCAGGGCGCCAAACAGGCTAGGACCGCCACTGTAAATGATTAATAAAATACATGCAATAAATGATTAATACACTCATCAGTCATCAGACATTATACTTGCAAATTATCCCTGATTTAATTGATTACCTTCCTCAATAAATAAGATTATACAGAACAATCTGCATTTTTATTTTATTTTTCCTTCCTTTTTTCCAACCATGTTAGCATTCAGTCACATTTCTATTTAAACATACAAGTAAATGCAATCATATCTGTTTTGTCGATGTCAAGCAACATTTTAGTCTGTGCTGAACCACTTGCATTTGGCAAACAGTGTCTGTTTGCCAAATGCTGAGTTATATTCTCCACCTAGCTATGCCTTTGACTCCGGGGAAGGTAATGTGCTTCAAATTTATTTAAACATTTTAATGCTTTGTTGATGGAGAACACTTGAGTACATCCTGACCTTAAAACTGAAAGAATGTGCAAGGCAATGCTCAAACTGAAGAGAACTTGTTGGGCTACAGTTTTACAAGGGTTTGTCTCTTTGAGTGACTGATTTAAAAAATGATGCTTAATATTAACAATAATTGTTTAGTGTAAAACACAGCTTTTATGAAGACGCAACTTGGTCACGGCTTCATTCACTCACCTTTTGTGAAGTTATACCGTGCTGAGAAACCAATGGCCTCGAGTTCACTATCAGCCACAAATTTGATGTACAAGTACCTCCCACTGGAGCGGACATATGACGGGCTTTCCTGCCCGCAGTAGCGACCAATTATGGGAGAGAAACCAAAGGGACCATCGCGGACTTCAATGTGGTCGAACTTACACTCCCAGGAGGGCTCGATGGAATACTTCTCATCAAAGAACAGGTCGATGCACTCCCGAGGAGAGGCTACAACAGGCCAAGAGGTTGAGAGAAGGTGAAGTTAACAGCAGGAGGAGTGGGAAGTGGTACTGTAAGGATGCTAAAAAACAAAACAAGATAAGGTCTCACCTTCTATAATATAGATGCATTCCCTCTCAGGTGGGTATTTCTCAGGGTAATTCGGTGATGTGAAATACCCTCCATCAGGCTTCTTTACCCAGGTCCCACACTGCCCAGCTGGTGTCACACCCGAGTTGTTCTTTACTAGAAGCGGGTACACAGGCAATATAAAGTACACAGTTTACCAAAAGTAGATCACATCCTTGTATCTTTAGTTTTAAAACATCCATATTTTTGTAGCACAAATTGGATTTGTCAAACTTTTCCATCTTTTGAGAAGATACTGCCAGAAACAATGGAAAAAGGTTAAAATAGAAGACTTTCAGCATTACAGGTTATATTCTTATATTAACACTACAAAGCAAATGCAAAGATTATTATTTACTATCTAATTAAAGACTCCCCAGAGAGATGAAGAATCAGGTGGAGCACTTTGATCCAGGAATACACACACCTTTCCCATTTGACTACTTTCAACGGAATCTAATATATAAAATACTTCGGATTAAACATTTCTCCTCAAAAATTATTGTTATAATGTAAGTATGAACCAGGAATTGTGAATGATCATGGTTAACTTTGTGTGTGGGTTGTCTTTTTTGTTCTACAAGTTGGTTCAAGTTCTACAAGACTGTGTAGATCATGAGAGATTCTGGAAAAGTAACTGTAGAAACGAATTCTAGAAGCTGAGTTAGCTAATTATTTACTATACTGAGCTACAGTACTTTTTGGCACTATATTGATATTTTATTAGTTTAATATTATCACTGGACTTTTCTCATGAGATCATTATCACAAAATCTAATCTATCCATCCATCCATCCATCCATTCACTTCCACTTATCAGGGTCGCGGGGGGCGCTGGAGCCTATCCCAGCTGTCATAGGGCGAGAGGCGGGGTACACCCTGGACAATTTGGATTATCCAGAGGAAGCCGGAGTACCTGGAGGGAACCCACACAAACACGGGGAGAACATGCAAACTCCACACAGAAAGTCCCCAGCCTGATGGTGGAATTGAACTCAGGACCTTCTTGCTGTACGGCAACAGTGCTAACCACCATGCCACCGTGCTGCCACTCAATCTAATAATTAGTTTTATTATTTCTCATGATAGATTAATATTCATACATTTCACTACATTTTAGGTTAAAACCCAGAGTAGTATTCGAGTATCAGGCCACCTGCCCTCTGCAGCTACATAAATGATATGGCAAGATGTGATAGATTACCTTGAGCTTTTGTTTTAGTAGCTGTGGCACTTGATAGCTCAGGTGAGAGGAGGCTTGCTGCTAAAGCTGACAGGACACAAAAAAGAAGACGTTAAAGATGACGTTGTTCGTCGGGAGTTGCTTGTATTTACTTTGAAAAAGCAACAACAGATAACTAAACCAGCATAAACACCGGTTAGACTAGGAGACTGTAAATCGGTGGCTGCTGTTTTTACTTTCTTATAGATAAAAGCTATTTGATATATTTATTTTTTAAATAACATGCACGAACAACAAGGGTCGCTTACTTACTGAACTATGTTCAATAAGTGAACGCTTCAGGGAACTTACCGATTTGCAGCACAAGTTTGTGCAGCATGTCTGTTCCCCGAGGATGTGTAGTTCAGTTTGCTATTGGTTAAAGAGTGTCCATCAACCCACCAATTCCTCAGAGAATTCGCCAAATCCGAGAGCTGGCTTGTCCATCTCTCCCGCCGTGCGTCCCCGTCGGCTCAAAAGATTACACTCTCGTCCGCCACCAACCTTCACAATTTTTGCTCCACCTTTAGGCTGCCTTAATCCTCTGAAAAGATACAGCCTCCAGTCATTCACAAGGCTGCGCTGTCCCGAGGCTTGGTGCCTTAATCCAGCCTCCAGTAACGCAGTCAGCGCAGTTATCAATACAGTTCACTGGAATCAATTCAAAAATATTAATAATAGTAAAAAATTTTACTATAACAAAAATGCAGTTGTACCCATTAAATGGTTTCATGTATAATTGGATGAAATAAAATGTTCAGCACTTATCAAACAGGCAAATTTATGTCTGTTTTCATGAAATCTGAAGCAAAACCCGAAGGTATATCCAGTGGCGGTCCTAGCCTGTTTGGCGCCCTGAGCGACCCCCCCCCC